AGCTTGGACACATAATAAAAGTACCTCGGGCATTTTATTGTATACAGGTCAGTCGGTGAATTACATATATAAGTGTAAGAAGATATTGTTGGACGGCAAATTCGAAACAGGATTTTAAATGCAGACATGAAACGACATCGCGAATCTAGTCTTTACACGTTACCACTATCAAATTTAAGACCTGTACGAAAAAGTAGCCTTACGAAGATCACCCAATCTATAACAGATTCATTTGTGTCTGAGATCGATCAGTATATAGGTATATGGTTTTAGTGAATTCATTCCCAAAATTTCTTTGATTTGTTTAGGATAAATTTTAAGCTAGATCAATTCATTATCGGACTCATAATCTAAAGTACCAATAATGTAAAATCAATACGACTGTTAAAGAATTTCTCACTGGTAGTTTGATATAAGTTCTCCAATCCAATGTTGATACAATCTGTTTGAAAGTATTACCTTCTGGTGCTATATGTGTTGTTCCTGAGAGATTGTTCCTTGTTTTAGCTACATGTAAAAGGGAAACGCGTTCCTTGTAGCAACTTATCGTTGCTGTGGAAATTGCTGTTTCAGCGTCGTCTAGTTCCTGACCTCTGGGATACGCCTTCCCACGAGTTGATAACACCCAATGCCTTACTATCACGAATATCAGGCGCGAATCCATGATTTCCTATAGACGGGGCACACATGTTTACTTAATTATTTACGGATTTCTCATTTTTCCCAATGGCGTGACTGTCCGAGGTTTGTGGACAGGAACGAATGGTTAGCTGTCCATTTCGTCCTTTGTCCGAGACCCGGCAGCCACCTATTCCTAAAAAATCTCTTGTTATTGCTATTTCTAGGGAATTGCTTGGGAAATCTTTTTCAAATATGTAGTTTCGACCTTGTCCGTAGCCTTTCAAATTGTATATGTAGTTCCGACTTTGTCCGTAGCCTTTCAAATTGCATATGTAGTTCCGACTTTGTCCGTAGCCTTTCAAATTGTATATGTAGTTTCGACCTTGTCCGTAGCCTTTCAAATTTTGTTTGTAGTTTCGACCTTGTCCGTAGCCTTTCAAATTGTATATGTAGTTTCGACCTTGTCCGTAGTCTTTCAAATTGTATATGTAGTTCCGACTTTGTCCGTAGCCTTTCAAATTGTATATGTAGTTCCGACCTTGTCCGTAGCCTTTCAAATTGTATATGTAGTTTCGACCTTGTCCGTAGCCTTTCAAATTTTGTATGTAGTTTCGACCTTGTCCGTAGCCTTTCAAATTTTGTATATGTAGTTTCGACCTTGTCCGTAGCCTTTCAAATTGTATATGTAGTTCCGACTTTGTCCGTAGCCTTTCAAATTGTATATGTAGTTTCGACCTTGTCCGCAGCCTTTCAAATTTTGTATGTAGTTTCGACCTTGTCCGTAGCCTTTCAAATTGTATATGTAGTTTCGACCTTGTCCGTAGCCTTTCAAATTTTATTTGTAGTTCCGACTTTGTCCGTAGCTTTTCAAATTCAACATCAGGAGGGCATAACAAAAATAATAATAAAATTGATAAGCAAATAAATAAAATAAAAATCTCAATATTGGATTTTAACTGAAAATGCTCCATGACGCTATTTCTGGTGGATATGGAGGGACCATTTCTACGAACGATCAAACCAAATTTTACATGTATTTTTTTATGTTTTACTATCCATGATATGTTTTAAAAGAAAATTGACTAATTGTTCTTGGATATTATTTGGAGGTCCCAATTTGTCTTCTGCGTGTTGTTATAAAAGTGGTGATTACGGGACTATTCTGGAGTTGAACTCTAGAAGATATTTTATGAACATTTCTTCCGAAGCACTGAATAGCCAATTTTGACTTGTTTTCCTTATTTAATAACGTTACCATATAAACATACGATCAATTCACCTCAAAACAAAGTGACTACCACTGTGGAATATCTTAGACATAACTTCCCGACACCCACACACACACAACACCACCACCACCACACACACACACACACACACACACACACACACACACACACACACACACACAAACACCACCACCACACACACACACACAAACACCACCACCACCACACACACACCACCACCACCACCACAACACACACACACGCACAAACACACACTCTCTCTCTTCCTGCATCCCTCCCACCCTTTTTTTCTCCCTCTCTTTCTCTCTCTCTCCTTCCCCCCCCCCCCCCTCTCTCTCTCTCCTCAATCAATTTCAGATAATGAATCTAGATACAAGTAAATAAAGAGGATGTTTTCCTCCACTACATATTAATATGTCAATAATGAAATTTTTAACTGCAACAAGCATTTGGCGTTTTCCCACGTAGTGTCACCCCTTAAACATCAACACTTTTCATTATATCTTATTGATATATTAGAAATGTACATTTGTCTCCTTAAGGCAAATGTATTGCAGGTTGATAGAAATTACTTTCAAAATACTTAAAAATATTAAACCAATACTGAAATTAATACTCTAGATAATAACCCTGTAGATTGGGGATGAAATTATTGATTTAAGAGAAATGAAATCAACTTAGATTAGTAGTAGAATCAATTAATTTGTAATGAAATTATTTACGGATAATGTTAATTCTTATTAACTTTCAAATGTCACATTTGGGGTACAACTCTGAATTTGTCATCTATACTGTTTAATAATCAGACTAGACTGATACATAAATGTCGAAACTGTTAAATAAAGTCACTAGGGTGAAAACTAATAATGTCCCAGACTGTTAATTGATGTCTCTTAGACTGATACATGCATGTAACATTCAAACTGTTAAATAAAGTAACTAGGCTGATAGAGAAATGCTCAGATTGATAAACAATGTCCCTAGCCTGATAAATGATGTCCCCTGACTGTTAAATGAAATACATATTTGCATACTTTGTTGACTTTATAAAGGCGATTTGACCCAGAATAGAGGAAAGGACTTATGTTATTTATAATATCTAAATATAGTGTGGATGATAATTTCTACCAAATCATTAAAAATATATACAATAACAAAACATCCTCCATCAGAGTTAAAATCATTCACTCCCGACATCTTTAATATTCTCTGTGGTTATAAAAAGGGAGATAGTTGGGGTCCTGCTCTTCTCAGTTAATTACAGAGGGCCTACGCTTATGATATTAATCAAAATACAATCATCCATTCACCTGGATGAAATTAAATCCATGATGTATTAGTCACCAAAAATATCACTATTTACTCCAATCATTGCTCAAGCAAAAGGCAAATTTCAGAGAAAAAAAAGGAAAACAAAATGTTTCTTGGTTATCACTACATCATTGATTAATCATCATTTGAGCAACTACATTTGAAAATTTGTGAACAAACTTTGAAAGTTGAAAGAAAAGCAGTAAACTTTACATTAGGAGAGGAATGAGACTGATAGCTAAATGATGTGGTCATTAATGTACCAGCCTGTTTTCCCTTATCTATAATCTATCAAAACAACTTGTCATAAAGACACACTTACATACTTTATATAAGCACTTTAATTATGCCATAAAATTACTTTAAAAAACTTTATTTAACAACAATTGTGGAACAATATTTTTCAAACTTCTATTAATCATGCTTGTTGGCCCAGATGGAAGCATGCAAGGGTCTTACTGTCTGAGGAACCCAGGAGAACCCGGAGTCGGCGGATGACCCCATTCTTTTTAATGTCTGTCCCCGGAATCCGACCCTGAATGTCTAGGTTAAAGACGAGTGTGCTACCACTGCACCACCCGACCACATTATAAATGATAATTGCTAGAACTTGTGAAATATAATACCAGGAAAAAGACCATATACATGCTAATAACATAATAAAAGATAATACTTTTATGGATTCAACACTTCTAAAACCAAAACACTTATTTGTTGATGGAAGTTAATTCTCTTAATAAAAATTATTCATTATCTATGTATGAGAAATTCAAACAGGAATTTCACTTGAACCTTATTGTTGTATATTGCATTAGTGACGTCAATCTAGGACCACTATGTACTTATTTAGGCTCTTTGAGCATCACTTGGAACTATCATATGGCTGAAGGGTCTAGAAAATTTGTAAAGTTACTCAAAATGAAATTCAGATTTTTCTATGAATTTAATGTCCTCATATAATGTTTGAGAAATGTTCCTAGACAATGTGAAACTAAATACAAATTGTATATCAGAAAATGAAAATCTCACTACCATTTTGTGAACTAATGACTCTGACATTATACAAAGAACATGTCTACTCATAAAACCATCACTAGACCAGAGGAAAGTAGTCTTCCATCCTTCGAAATGTAACATCCTACTCATTATGCATGTTTACGTAGTATTGTCCTCAAATTACTTCCATAATTCGAACTGTGCAACAATTTTTTTAACTTTTCATCAATCACTTTAAAGAAAATGCATTAAGACAAAATGACTTACAAGATATGATTGGATATGAAAAGGTCAGAGGTCACCTGGTTTTCCCTGGGTAGTCAATTTTCTTCCACCATAAGAACACCCCCCATCCCTCTCGACCCCCATCCCCTTGCACAGTTCTTAATATAAGCTGATAGCTTGATCCACAATCATTGAAAAATTAATAAAATTTAAATATTTATATTTATATACGGTGGAAAGTATTACAAGATATCTGATCTACTAAACTGTCAAGTCCTCGATTGTCTACTCGTCAAAGAATTTGTCAAATAGAACTAATGCTGGAGCTAACTTACATTGCCTTTCGTAACTGAAAACAAAACAAGGACATGAAAACAAAATACAGAGACAGCCTCAGTTACCTGATGTATTGGTTAACAAACAGATTTTTTTTCATCATCTATCTTACTTTTTGACTGTTCTTACCCTGGTATCCATCCTCACAGAAGTCTCATTACTGTGAGACTGTAAATCTCCCATCAACACCTTTCAACAGATACCCAATGCCTTCAACATCAATAATATTGTATGATTATGAACACAGATAACAAAAATGTCTGCCTGTAAATAGTATTTTAATACTGCATTACATTTATAAATCATGAAATATTTATTTTCACACAAATTTAAGAGAAGGTACAAACATATCACGACATCATCATGTCTCAAAAACAGTTATGAAATAAATTATAGCTAACAGTACATGATACAATCAGGGAAGGAGAGAGTGTTGCAACAACCCTAAATTTCCAATTGGTAGCACTATCTATACCAGTATACAGTTACAGTTGAACAAGAGGCCCATGGGCCTTAACGGTCATCTGACATAAAATACAACATTTCAAGTTTTGAACTTGAGAAGAAGTTGAAAATGTTTTTTCAAGATGGCAGCCATGTTGGATTTCGGACCAACCCAAAATTAACAAATTTTGGTCAGGATCATGTCATGATCATTTCAGATAAGTTTCAGCTCAATGAGACATGTAGAACTTGAGAAGAAGTTGAAAATATTTACGACGGACGCCGCCGAACAAAAGGCAATCGCAATAGGTCATCAGACCCTTTGGTCAGATGACCTAAAAATTGTATTGACAGCAAAACTAGTAAAAATCTCCAAATACATTTCTTGTCTAATTCTTCAACAACAAGTCATTTTGTATGCAAGAATATAAAGGCTTCCTAGAAACGGTGTATCTCATGTCATAATTATTCAGAATGAATCACACACTTATATGCTTTGTTACAATAGCAAATTCTAACCACAGTTTTAGCTCTATTGTTTGAGCATAACACTAGTAAGCCAGAGGTCCCAGGTTCGATCCCTGGTAGAGGCACTGAAATAAATCATGATCACCTCTGTTACGATATCAAATCAGGAATATGAGGGTCACCTCAACACGTGTTTTCCATACATCTACACACAGAAGACTTCCAGTGTAATTACTGCACAGGATTCATAATGGGTATGAATGGTTTCTGCTTTCAAATATCATTGAGAATAAAAAACATTTAAAAAAGTAAATCATCAGCTGCACTCTTGGCTGTATTGGGATATCCCAACACGTTTCCTTGGTTTACCAGTAGGTGGCACCCCCGGTTTGGATTGTCCTGATGAAATATTTGTACTGCCCACAGTGGCACGGCGAAATATGGCATTAGACAGGGCAACAACAGGAGCAAATACCTTCAGAGGAAACGAACTGAAAAAAAGTGTTTTTATAAATTTTTCAATTGGAATAAAGCTTTAATGTAGAAAATGAAAAAAAAAATGAAAAATAGTTTGATAACAATAAGTTTTAATCTTGGATTTTCTTAAATAATACACATCTTCAAGTGCAGTTTAAAAACCTTGAACTGACTCTAATCTCTTCATATATTATGTTCTGTAGCACTCACCAAATCCTTTTTGGTTCACTGGCCTCGTTCGCACTAATGATGAACACAGGAAATAAAATGGAAAATATGCATCCACTGAAAAACAAACAGAAAAAGTATGTCCACTAAAAATGAGACTCTACATCCACTGAAATACTAACCAGGAAATGTAATATTCTTAAAAAAAAACCTGCAAAAGAATAACAATTCTATAATGTACATGAAACAAGAGGCCCAAGGGGCCTTAACGGTCACCTGAGGAATATATGTCAATAATCTGGGGATTTTAAAATGTTGCAAAAATGTAACAACACTTGTGCAGGACCATGTGTAAAACATCTGTACCAAGTTTGAACATGACCCACCCAATGGTTCTTGAGAGGAAGTCCATAATGTCATAGCCAAACAGAGGCCAGGGTGGCCATCTTGGATTTTGAATTGCCCCAAAAAAGTTAAAACACTTGCCAGGACCTTGTGTAGAACATTTGTATCAAGTTTCCCCTTTTCCCCCCTCCTGGGGCCCCTATTGGGGCCACACCCTTTTTTCTTCGCAAACTTGAAGCCACTTTTCATGGGGATGCTTTGTGCCAAGTTTGGTCAAAATCCATTAAGTGGTTCTTGAGAAGAAGTCGAATATGTGAAAAATTAACGACACAAGACGATAGACATATCATGATGGCAATAGGTCACCACGAGCCTTCGGCTCAGGCGACCTAATAAAATGGAGACAGGAAACTAATAGACGAAATTGAAAACTGAATCTGAACTGAAACTGAGATAAAAAAAAAACATTGTTGACAAAAAAAATAAATTTGAAGCCATACTTGATTGAAAACAACATACCTGATGACAACCGAGGGATGAAGAGAAGTCAACACTGCCATAGGAAGACCAAAGCCAAAGAAATACGGCCAGCAGTTCTCAATGTGGCTCAACCGTTTGTGTACCTCCCAACCTAAATAAGAAACGCATAAAAAATCCTATGTATATATATATATTTGAAGTTGTTTTTAGCCGGTGTTTCTGTAGTGATATTTGATGTATTCCTCAATTTAAGATCTTTTATCAACAGAAAGGTCATTCTAAATTACTCTCATTTTTCCGAAGATATACACTGAATTACTTTCTGATCACCTTTCATTTTTAAGTACACCCGCTATCTGTCTACATTTCTTATCTCAATCATTAAGCAATCCAGAATCAAGATCTGAAGTCAAAAATATCTTAAGTTTTGACTTTGCCAATCACAGAAACATCATGGAATGTGATGTTTATGTGATTGGTAAAGTAAAAATTTCACTTTGATCTCCAGATCTTTCAAATGTGTGATACATCATGTGTCAGAACTCTTCAAAATATCAATGCTGTATGAATAGTGTGCAGACATAGTATTTCATGTGCAATGTTTTACCTCTGACCTTCAATAATCCAACCTTTGACCTTATCTAATATTACATATGACATTCTCTAATTTCACCTTTCACATTTTCTAATTTTACATCTCACATTTACTAATTTTACCTTTCACATTCACTAATTTTACCTTTCACATTCACTAATTTTACCTTTCACATTCACTAATTTTACCTTTCACATTCACTAATTTTACCTTTCACATTCACTAATTTTACCTTTCACATTCTCTTAGTCCTGTAGTTCTTCTACACTTTACATTGAACATACAAATTTCCTTTAACCTTCGTTCATTACACCTTCGAACTTGAATAAGTTGATCTAAGTCTTTCTATTATTTTAGCTCTAAAATCTGTCCTTCCATAATTTCACCTACACATTTTATAATTTTACTTTCACCTTCAGTAATTAACAAATGACATCACAATACATACCCATATTTAGCCACTTGTACTCGAAAGCGTATAGTGAGTAGAGAAGAGCCATATGAATGTGTCCAATAATTTGTCCTACAGCAGGAATTGGCAGGAACATGAACAGTGTACCCTGAGTGTAAAAAATATAAGCTTTCTTTATTTTGCAAAAACTGCAAATCATGTCATATATTAAGTTAATAAACCTCTCTGATTGGACTGGACAGAATAAAAATTGGATCTCAATGCAGGTGAAAACCAAAATATTGACAGAAAACCCACCATGGTTGAGCAGGTACCATATACTTTTTAATTTCCAATTGGAGAATTAAACCCTTGGTATTTAGGTTAAAGGAGTTTTACCATTGTACCCCCTTGCTACCTCATAGGAAATGTGATGAAAATAAAAAAATATCTAGTGTCTTTGAAAATCACTATTTTTTGTTTCTTTGTTTAGATGTACAGGGGTCCCTCAATAACCTGAACACCAACATTCTGGGTAAAAGTCGTTTAGAATGCAAATTTCCCCGACTGCTGAATTTATCCAAATTGCCACAATGAATTGAGTTACCTCCCTTGGTACAATAACGTACAGGACACTGCAACTAATTCCCAAGAGCATTTATGTTCTACACACAACATTTATTGCATAAATGAGTGTCCATTCATGAGTTATTAATGTGTATTTTTAACTACAATACACATATTATGTAAAATTGAAGAAATAAAAGTTGTCAATTCATTGAAGTCCACTTTCACAGACGATTCTTAAACACCTGCTTAAGAACATTAGTGATTATTTACTCAAAATATTTGACAAAGTATACTTTCTGAAAATGATATGCACAAATTAATACGATATTGTCATACTATTTTCCTGATCGTCTCTGTGATCAATACAAGGCAAATGTCTTCTTTTTTTTTTTACATATCTTTTTTTCTCTCCATTCAAAATCAAGGAATATTACTGACAGCACAGGAATTGCTAATGCGGTGTTAACTATGTTTAAGAATCATAAGTGTGATAGACCATGTACCAGACGTGATAATCAAATTTCCTTAAAAGTAACCTTTATTTCCTGACTACTTTTATCATTATAGTTTGCGAAAAACAGACAAAAAATGTTTACATCCAAAAAAAAAACAAAAAACAAAAAAAAAAAAATAGATAATTAAAATTAAAGATGTTATGGATCAATATTGTATTAACTCTCCAAATCTACAAAACAAGACTACTCCTTACCATGTATTATTCTGGCAATTCATACTGTGGTTACAAACCTATCGCTATAACAAAAGTATATTGCATAAAACTGACACAACATAAACAGGTGAATGCATGAGCTGATTAGATAGCAGCAGTCATTATGACTGTGCAAAGCAATCAACAGGGAGTACACCCGTGACATGACTGTCTGAGCACAACAAAACTCTCCATGTGATGCAAACCTTTCAAGACTATCTGGGGAATATTACTAAGAAAAGGACTGTTTGATTCCTAAAACGTATATCCAGAACCAAAATTCAAATTTCCAGACTGAGGAGTATGATTAATGTTACAGAAATCCATTCTCAAGCATTGCTGTCCGGATTGTTAGTTTTCTGGACTATTGGCACCTATACTATCCACGGTCTACTGAACCATTATAGGTATAACAAAAAAAAACAAAAGTTAGACAACATAAATATCAAGTTTGACGAAATTAAACATTTTGATATTAGCAACAGTGCCTTATTGGTGTGTTGAATGGACACACCATATTTGTCTGTCCTATGGGAAATCATATTGAATTTCGAACTAACTTTTCTCATATTCATTCATATTTGATGTGCTGTGATATCTCAGTCAAGAGTGTTGGATTTTGCATGTTGAGGTCCAAGATGTGAGGTCCAACTATTCATAATTAGGAGGTGGTGTGGTATTACTCAGGAAGCTGTGAAACTAACTGACCTCTGCTCTGTTGGTTGCATTCTTGGACAAGACATTATTTTTCAGTTGTTTTTGATGGCATGTACTGGACTATAATATTTAAAAGTAGACAAATCAACATAAATTACCGAAGCTTCTTGACAAACCTGTATGAGGAATAAAGCCTGAAGCAGCACACTGAAACTGATGTCTGCTATAAGACTGCTGATGTTGAACTGCTTAGGTTTTCCTCTGTATTGAAAGTAGGCAGCATCAGCAATATCCTGTAAAATTGAACCACAAGTTTCCATGACCATCAATGCTACCCACAAAATTATCAGTCTTTCTCTGAACTGTAAAGATAAATGCTAAGAGTAATTTTGAGGAGAGAATTCCAACTGATCATAATGGTTTACCTTTAATAAAGTTGACCAGGTCAGAAGCATGCAGTGATTTTTATCACAAGAAAGGAATGAGAGTTTCCACACCGTTTAGCAGATGATACCATACATTTACATTTACCTATTGACCATTAGGAAAAAACATTCTGTGAGGACCTATATATATATCTTACTTACCTGATACCAAAGACTATTGACGACCTTGCTGAGGACAAATATAGGCAAGATCCAGAGGGCACTGAAGGTCCATGAGAGAATTGGTCCAATCCAATTCCATACACTATTGCTCCCCGACCCTCCTGCAGACCAACATTGTACAGTGTATTATACTTAAAACAACTGTTATTTAACCTTATGAAGTCCTCAACCAAATAGGCAAAAGTCTAGTATCAAACTTATGGTGACACTTGAAATTGATTCTACCTACCAGTATTTATATATATTTATCATTTAGTTACTTGCTCTGAAAACTTTTGAATATCAAAGCTCAAGTGAAGTACCCAACTGAACTTTTAAGATATTATTTGAATAAGTGACTAAATCTCTATTGATTTCAAATTATTTTCGTTTTTAATTGTGTTTTTTATAGGGTGATTATCTCAAGATAATCTAGCAACTTCCATGATCAGGGCATGTACAGCGAGAAAACTGACCAAAAAATACAATTATTATCAATCATCTACCACTGTATCTATTGCTTATTTCATTGATGAAGTGCATATATTTTATACTCTTTGAGAACAATTACTACATATTGTTACCATATTTATATGTCAATAAGCCAAAACCTGATTATAAGCCCATTAAACTTAATATATTGCAGATACCACTGTCCTGTAATAAACCTAGCCACTGACTTTGAGTAAGAAGAACTCATCAACTGTGCTGGGCTTATTACAAAATCAATTGGGTGTAAGAGTCTTACCGAAGATACCAGCAATGATCAACTGAACAACTGGCAACAACAAGTGGTTGAACAACAGGATGCTCATCTGCAAAATTGAAACAACAAAATTATTTTCTGTATCTTCAAGCCTTATATTCCTCAGTGTTACATGATAAAAAGTTATCAAAATTGTATGAGTTTTTTTCTTGTCTTCCTAATTCTGTTAACATCTTCATGAAATTTTCAAACCACTAAATTTTTACAAAGGCTTCATAAACAATTACCAGTAAACGATATAAGTGTTAAATATAAGCTATTAAGTCTTTTTCATGAAATTGTTTTCTTAACAGTATGTATTTTTGTCCTTTTCACCAACTAGAATGATCTGTTTAAGCTACATTACTGTCAATAGCTCTGACAAGTATCAAACCCTGTTCTCCAGTATATAATTACATGGTTCTACTAAATAAATAGAAAAACATTCCATTTAATGGTCTTTCTTTCATAACATTTTTTCTTTAACATTTATATCACATGCATCACTGTACACAGTAGTAGAAAATGAAACAACTGATATGTGACATACCAAAGAGATACCACCATTCCATGCACAACACAAAACAATCCTTTGTATGATCTTTGGCTCCCTGAAACAAATAACCATAGATGAAGTGAAGACAAATAATAGCTTTGATGAAATAATGTAGAAAAGCAATTTTTTGAAATAATACAAATTGTGATCTGTTATGATAAAAATAGAATAGTGTTTTACATGTAGTTACATACTGGTATGCATGACAATATGAAGGAATGTTAAAAAGTTCAGAGCTCTAGGTCAATCCTGTACCATGTACCGAGTTAATACCGATATACTTAATTACAGAAAGAACTTTTTATGTCAATAAAAGAAAATAATCAGGAATAAAGAAATCAATAGAAAGTTATCTTATTATACATGAAACTAACAATGACTTTTCTTACAACATCTGTTTTCTTGATTACTAGGGCATCTATTAGGAAAAGGGTTTTCAATACTACACAAGTACTTCAATATCTCATATAATTATAATAAGAATGCTTGTTTGACAATCTTAGAGGATATTTCCTACCACAGTTTATTGATATTGTTATTGATATCTGTTGTAATATAGCAATATAAACATAAACATACTTCTTTTTGTGCTGCACTTCATCTTTTTTGCGCTCTGCTCTCCTCCTTGCCAATGTTGTCATGGGCTCTGGATCCTTCCTCAAAGTCTCTTCACTCTCTGCTTTTCCAAGTTTTTGAATCTTCAGAGTTCCTAATATTCCATCTTGTAAACCATTTATAATTTCATAAAGGATGTCATGAAAGTTGTCCGCCATTTTTCGACTTTTTTGTTATTATTACTTATACAACTTCTTCAATATCAATGTGGCAATTTAGCTCCCTGACATACTTCTTATCATGTATAGGTTTAACATTAATTCCAATCAGCCACAGCCATTTTCTTATGATATTATATCACCTGAGTGCCTTTGTAAGTTTTCAGATCAGTGTGATTCTGAAAATAAAAAAGTTAGAAATTAGAAACATATATATAAACCATATACATTGAAAATTGAAACCCATAATACCCAAAACTTGATCGTGAAAGTATATTTCAACCAATCAGGATCAATGTATATTTGTTTTCCTGTTCATCTAACATGCAGTTTAAGTGGTGAGGGAAATACAAAAACACAGAACAGTAAGATACAGTAAGTATTATAGAGCAGTTGTATAAAGGCAAGTAGATAATCCCATCCATGTATAGAGCTACCATAGTACCTTTGAGCATTACTGAGCATGTCTTATATTCAATTTGCACAAATGTGGTGTTTCAACAAATATCTAGAGAAAATAAGAAAAATATGTAACAGTTTATTAAGACACCAGGACCTAACTAAATGCTGATGATATTGCGCTCGATCTTAGGCATTGTCTGTTAATGATAAATGACAAAGCACTGAAAACGCTTTGCTAACAAAATTTCTAGTCATTTAGTTATGAAATGAACATCGCACATTAAAAAATCAGTACGATACAACAAAGTGAAAGAACAAGCGAAAGGCACTCATCAATAATAAGTAAACAAAGATAGCAAATACAATAACTTGTGAAGTCGTCATAAGTCGATGTGTTCCGGGAATACCGACTATAAAATACGTGTGTATGCCATCAGTCCATATAGCAAAAGTGAAAATAGATGTATAACAATAATGCAAGCCTCGATCAAATGACATTGAGAAAAAGACACATTATCATAGAAATCAGTGGTTGTGAAATTCTGTGATATTTCAGATTTTCAGCGTCAGTCTTACAGAAATAGGCGTAGTAAGTAGTGAAAGCATTTGAAACTTACGTCATTTTTTTCTGTGAAATGGCATTTACTGCGCATTGCTACTGCGCATATCGCTTACCACCTTATAAAATATAGTTTAAATTTCAATTGTTTCGCCGCTATTTTGAACTAAAATATTCGCATTTAATTCAAATATAAGTTTCCTATATCTCATTGTAAGTAATACATGCTGCATTTGTTATACAAAAGTAATTGGTCATTGTTAATGATTTAAACGATAACGGAAGTACAGTGATTTGCATTGTGGGTAAGGCCTCTTTCTCACATGTGCTTTCAGTAAAATGGTTGGTAAAACTAAGAGGGGTGATTTTACACAAAATTCACACCTAACAACCCATCTTGTAGCGTTTCCATTTGCAGTTATACTGCTTGCATTACACTTTATTTCACTATAGATTTGTATTTGTGTTCCTGCTTCATATCCGAATGAAATATTACAATTTGCCACACGTGTTGTCCACATATCCAGTTTTAGATCTGGGAGTATGGCCGGTTGGGTCTGTGAAACAGATTTTCTTTATAGTTTTGCAATATGACGAGCATTGATCAAGATTGTCATGCAATGTCGACAACGCAAATGATTTGGACAGGTCACCTTGATATTTGATATATATCATGACCTGCTCAAATGTGGCAAATGCTCTAAAATGGCATATTTCTTGCTTTTTAATCGGCTTTTACAGGTCTAAAATTCTATTTCCTGTTCAATAATATGAAATATACTCAACGGTAAAATGTAACACGGAACATTTCAATGAAAGTGGTATAAAGAATTGTCACCTTTACAATATCCTTGAATATAAGGTCTTCTGACAAAATGATTATTCAAAACTTCATGTATCCAATATTTGACTAGAGGTATTTGAAAATGTTGAGATATATAAAGATTTAAACCTGAATGTTGCATGTGAACAATGGATGAACAGGCAACAGAATCGCATGAAAACAATTGTAGGTTCTTTTCCTCATTAGTGTGAATTATGAATTGAAATACAGTTCTGTACCTAGGATTTGTGGAAATCCTGATAAATGATGATAAAAAAAAGTTTAATACTTTATACATTAACATGGTCATCAAGGTTCAAAAGAGTCAAAGGTCCAATTGGTGATTGAACTCTTCCATATTTCATTCTTCAACTTGAGTTTTTTTTATTTTTTTGTATCAGTCTTAGAAAATGGTCTGAACTGTAGAGTACTATTTTCCACTTTCTTAAACATCACAACAAAACAAAGATATTTCTTGAAGAATTTTTTGCTTAACTTCATTTACATAATTACAGAAAAGTGCATTACAGCTTGTTAAATGCTTTAATTTATTACCTATGATTTAGAAAAAAGGTGTAGAAACAAAATGTACCTGCCATACTGAGCAACTATATCTAACCAACACTTTGGCCTTGTTCATGCATGAAATATGTTGTCCTCGGCAATGAGAAATTCAATTTTTACACTCCTGGTTGCAAAATAACTTCAATCTATTTTTTTTACATTTTGACAGGGAGCAAAAAAGCCAGATCCAAAGGGAGGTGCTAAGGGCAAAGCCCCAGCCAAGAAAAAGGAAGGTGGAGGTGGTGGCAAAGCTAAGAAGAAGGTTTGTTTTGCATCTGCAATTGATGATGCCACTAATTAGTTACATTTTAATGCATGTGGTATATCATTGCTTCGGGACAGAACTGAATTTATTCTGTTCCTCAATTCAGCAGATGTCTGATCAGTTAGCAAATTTGATAAAAAATATTTTGGCAGAGTAAGGCAAAACAAGCATTGAACCTTAGGTTTTTAAGATGGTTGAGTTTTACTTTCTATGTAAGCAAGCATATTTTTTGGCGGGTGGGGGGGGGGGGGGTGGGGAGGTAAACAAACAAACAAACAGGACTAGCAGGTGCTCAGAACCAAAATAAGACGGCTTTCCCTTGAGTTGTAAAATGTAAACAACACTGTCATTAAATTTGAATGAAAAGAAGAATTCCTGTGTAAGTAAAATAGAAACAGTTATTATCAAATTCTTGTTTTAATGATTGAGAAAAATTATCAGTGGAAGAAAGCTTACATTCCAGAACAATCGAGTGAACCAATCATTTATGTTTTATTAATAGCAAATTCTAGTGGAAATTCAACTAAAAGTGGTACTGTTGAAAGAAAATCTCATTAAAATGAAATATATAGCATGATCAAAACTGAAGACTTGATCATTACAAAGTTTTGTTTTGCTTCTGTATTACAGAAGTGGTCCAAGGGAAAAGTTAGGGACAAGTTGAACAATCTGATCCTCTTTGACAAGGCAACATATGACAAGTTCAAGACAGAAGTACCCAACTACAAACTTATAACTCCTTCTGTTGTATCTGAGAGGATGAAGATCCGTGGTTCCCTGGCCAAAGCCGCCCTTCGTGAGCTCCACAAAGATGGTAGGTATCAGGGCTACATACTTGTTACGTATGCCTGGATATTTTATTAAGAAATTGTTTATCAATCAAAAGATCCAACTATCACTATTCTGACTCTTGGATTACCTCAATGCAATCTTGCTATGTATTATACTTGAAAGTATTCTGATTAGTTCTGGAGTGGTAGAGGCTCTTTATTTTTGCCACTGTATGCTCAATTCTTACTTCTAGACAGAAATGTATCGAAGTTCTGATTTTTATTTTTACCCTTAAAAGTCGATGTTGTAAATGTTGCAAACTGTTAGAGCACAAATAAAATAACTGATCGTTAAATCATAAAATTGTAAACATTAGCATGAGTAACTATTTTTTGAGGGCCAAATGTTTAAAACAACAATTACTGTGTGTCCCAGAAAGTATATGACCACTTAATACATTGTTTGAAGTGTACTTAAACGAGAGCAGGGTAGAATTTCCGTTAAGAAATGTACTGTATGATTAAATAATTTCACTCGCCGATCTGACCTTTCGTGATGATTGTGATTTTATGACAGTACTGCAATTATATGATGGTCGATGCTTTGCTTAGTATTCCAGGAATCTAAAAAAAGAAAATAAAGTGAAAAAAATATCAGTAATTTCAATGACTAATGATTCATTTCATATATATTACTAAAGGGGTGGATTTTTTGTTATCCTAAGTCAGAATATTTTGGAGCAAGTAAAAATTCTTTTTAAAAAAAATGAAGTAAAAATACTTTTCAAATCTTATGGAATTAGTCCTAGCTTAGAATGAGATTCGCCCTTCATGTATATATATTGTGATGTATGTTATGTATATTCTACAAAGATTTGTGTTGGTTTTGATTTTGAATTTTATGTTTATTTATGAAACACCAGAAGAAACCTTTATAGTATTTACAAAGACAAATTGTTTCCCAACATCACAAGTGACAGAAATTTTGTGATCAGTTTGTGCTGTATGATTAAATAATTTCACTCGCCGATCTGATAGTTAATGGTGATTGTGATTATATGACAGTACTCTTCACTCTTTCATGTATTATGATTGCTTATGATTAAATGTATTTACATCTCCTGGCTTTTAATCTAAGATCATCTTTAGAGGGCAGACTGAATGGTTAGGTCCTGTGATGAAACTATATTGCAGTACTTCCGCTTCTATTGGAGACTGAGATTACCATTTACCTATTCATATAGAAAGTCTAGAGCCCTTTAAAACATGGCAAAGAAGTAAACAAATGTTTCTTTGGCGGTGGGAAGGAAGTGTGTTCAGGGGTAGTGTGGAAAATTGTGTTTTTTTTTTTTTTTTTTTAATATCATCTAGTTTACACATCGATTATCTGTTCTGGTTTCAAGAACTTAACATTGTTGTTAATTTTATGAAATAGTTCAATAGTTTATTACATAGCTAGTTTATGTAATGGTGCTGTATGATTAAATAATTTCACTCGCCGATCTGATACTTTATGGTGATTGTGATTATATGACAGTACTCTTCACTCTTTCATGTATTATGATTGCTTATGATTAAATGTATTTACATCTCCTGGCTTTTAAACCTGGGTCATTAGACTGGCAGACTGAATGGTTAGGTCCTGTGATGATGTATTGCAGTACTTCCGCTTCTATTGGAGACCGAGATTACCATTTACCTATTCATATAGAAAGTCTAGAGCCCTTTAAAACATTGCAAAGAAGTAAACAAATATTTCTTTGGCGAGAGGAAGGGAGTTGCATTCAAGGGATTGTGGAAAATTGGTATTGTCCCCATTTTTAATATCATCTAGTTGACACATCAATTATGTCTTCGGTTAAAACAATTTTCAGTGTTGTAAATTTTATGAAACAGTTTATTACATAACTAGTTTATGTAATGGTGCTGTATGATTAAATGATTTCACTCGCCGATCTGATGCGCTGTGATGATTGTGATTATATGACAGTATCAATAATCTATTTATCTGCCCTTTTGACCTCATCACACAATTTCTTGTGGAATTTTTTTCACAACACTTGTACAAGTTTGTTATATGATCTGATTTTCATGGTTTTGAAGACTTTTTATGCTAATTACTGAATGATTAAATAGTTTCACTCGCCGATCTGACCCACATGGTGATTGTGACTGAATGACAGTACTTAATTAAGTACCACTCTTAAACAGAGCTTGACACAATCTTGCAATCTGTAGAAGATCTCTTTCTCTTAGAAACCTGTGTTTTCTCTGTGTTTGTAAAATAATTCTAGAACACAAAATCTAAGTGTTGTAATGGAATCCAGGATTATTGAAAATTTGTAAAAAGTAATTTACAAAACACAGTGTATTTCATACAGCAAAGATCTGTCTTATTGAAAGATAAGGTAAAAGAAAACTTTGAAATGATTAAGAAAAAATATGTATATGACATTAAATTTGGTGGTTATTTCACAAAGTTATTTGACATAATTTTTTCATTTGCTTCAAGATCACATGAATTTACCTGTCGCATACTTCAATGTTCAATATCTTTAATAAAATGAAAATTTGTATTTTATGTGAACCAGTGCTGTATGATTAAATAATTTCACTCGCCGATCTGATACTTAATGGTGATTGTGATTATATGACAGTACTCTTAAATCTTTCATGTATTAGGATTGCTTATAATTTAACGTATTTACATCTCCTGGCTTTTAAACCTCGATCATTAGATTGGCAGACTGAATAGTTAGGTCCTGTGATGAAATGCTATTGCACTGCTTCCTCTTCTATTTTAAAGTGAGATTACTATTTACCTCTTCATATAAAAAGTCTAGAGCCCTTTAAAACATGACAAAAAAGTACACAAATATTTCTTTGGTGGGATGGAAGGGAGTTGCATTCAGGGGTAGTGTGGAAAATTGATGTTGTTCCCATTTTTAATATCATCTAGTTGACATCGATTATCTGTCTTTGGTTGGAAAATTTTTCAGTGTTGTAAATTTTATGAAACAGTTTATTACATAGCTAGTTTATGTAATGGTGCTGTATGATTAAATGATTTCACTCGCCGATCTGATGCGCTGTGATGATTGTGATTATATGACAGTATCAATAATCTAATTATCTGCACTTCTGACATCATCACAATATCTTTAATATAAAATAAATAGTAAAATGATAACCTGTATTTTATTTGAGCAAGTGCTGTATGATTAAATAATTTCACTCGCCGATCTGACATTTAATGGTGATTGTGATTATATGACAGTACAATATTCATGTTAAGATCTAGGTGTCACACATTCATAATCATTCTATAGGAAATTTTCCATATTAGCTTGTTTTAAAGCCGATTAATTTGGTAAACATTTCTTTATTTCATGATGATTTGGTCAATGTTCTTTGCCTGCATGTTCCTCGATTACCTTGTAACCTGGATAACTTGTTGCTTGAGTTCCTGTAATCTGAGGGGACTGTAATCCAGTTTCATTTCCTGATCTCGTCTGTATTTATACAAGGAGATAGCTTGGCTATATTCTATACCTGTCTGTTGTAAATTCTAATACCTGTCACTGGGAAAATGTAAAAAAGTTTAACAAAGCAGTGAATTTTATCTGTTTTAGTACTACAGTAACAAAAACTTTAATTATAGTTGTGTTTTCTATTCCCAATTCATGCAAAGGAGTTGACATTTCCAGTAAAGAAAAAACTCTGTATTACAATTATCTGCCATTACTATGACGACAGCATTATGTTCATCCTTTTAAATCAGAATCTGAAGGTACTGCATGATTAAATTATTTCACTCGCCGATCTGACATGCATTGTGGTGATTGTGATCAAATGACAGTACTGAACATTTTGATGGAGACTTTCCGTTAAAATAACGTGTTGTAGGCAGTGTAGAAACCATAACTTATTCGACTTGAGAGTTCAAATGATTTCTATTTCTGTCCAGCCGTTTCTGAACCAGGGGCATATAGTGGTACTTTGGTTGTTGTAATTTTGTTTCTTCTCTATAAATATTAACAGATAGAAGTGGTTTTTTTATATTTGCCATATTTTACGGGGTATAAACCACACCAGTATAAAAACTGCAGTGCAAATTGTCAACAATTTTTTTCAATTTGATGCACATATTGCCTGCATTGAAATATAAGCTGCACCCTATCTTACAATGTGGTAACATTTATGTTGACCAATAGAATTGATAGGTTATTTCATCATTTCAAGGAGAATGTTTGACAAGTTGAAATGTGTATTAAGAGAAAATACACAAATTTGCCAATGAAATACATACTCATATTTGATAGTGAAAGGATTAAATCCCATTTTTTCATTCTTTGTGGAAGCATGACATGTTACAGCAACCAAAATACATCATAGTCACGAAATAATGTCCAGACAATATGATTACCTAGATTAATGATTTCAAACTGAGGAGATTAAAATTCAATAGTTCAAGAATAAGAAAGGTAGTCCTTCAAATTAAGAAATATTAGAAGTATTCTTTGTGAGAAATAGAATCTAACCCATCTCTAAATATGTACTGTATGATTAAATAATTTCACTCGCCGATCTTACACATCATGGTGATTGTGATTAAATGACAGTACTTCATTGCACTAGGAATTATAATTGATGAAATTCCCTTGACTAAAAGTACTAAAAAGAAAGTATTTTTCCACATAACTTAAAATTAGCCTAACCATTTCATTATCAAAACGTAATAAAAAGGACCTTCACTTTTTTAGGGTGTTCATAATTTTGCTTTGAAAATGTCCAAGTCAACTTAGTTATCTTGTCAAATGTTTGACAATACATGGACCAGTGTTGCTGTATGATTAAATGATTTCACTCGCCGATCTGACACTTGATGGTGATTGTGACTATATGACAGTACTATAGGGTACTAACCTTTTCCCAGTAAATTATTGCTTGTGATCAAGATACCTTTGTCATAATAACTGGGCTTGTGAGTGCATTATAACTATAAAACAGAGAAATATTTACAAACTTTACCTGGAACAAAAAATAGGTAGATCAGTATGTTGAAAGTTAACTTATAATCTAAATGTTGAGTTGGTGTACAGCACAGAATTGATGTAGATCATTGTATACAGGTAGAACTTATAATCTAAATGTTGAGTTGGTGTACAGCACAGAATTGATGTAGGTCATTGTATACAGGTAGAACTTATAATCTAAATGTTGAGTTGGTGTACAGCACAGAATTGATGTAGGTCATTGTATACAGGTAGAACTTATAATCTAAATGTTGAGTTGGTGTACAGCACAGAATTGATGTAGATCATTGTATACAGGTAGAACTTATAATCTAAATGTTGAGTTGGTGTACAGCACAGAATTGATGTAGGTCATTATATACAGGTAGAACTTATAATCTAAATGTTGAGTTGGTGTACAGCACAGAATTGATGTAGGTCATTGTATACAGGTAGAACTTATAATCTAAATGTTGAGTTGGTGTACAGCACAGAATTGATGTAGGTCATTGTATACAGGTAGAACTTATAATCTAAATGTTGAGTTGGTGTACAGCACAGAATTGATGTAGATCATTGTATACAGGTAGAACTTATAATCTAAATGTTGAGTTGGTGTACAGCACAGAATTGATGTAGATCATTGTATACAGGTAGAACTTATAATCTAAATGTTGAGTTGGTGTACAGCACAGAATTGATGTAGGTCATTGTATACAGGTAGAACTTATAATCTAAATGTTGAGTTGGTGTACAGCACAGAATTGATGTAGGTCATTGTATACAGGTAGAACTTATAATCTAAATGTTGAGTTGGTGTACAGCACAGAATTGATGTAGGTCATTATATACAGGTAGAACTTATAATCTAAATGTTGAGTTGGTGTACAGCACAGAATTGATATAGGTCATTGTATACAGGTAGAACTTATAATCTAAATGTTGAGTTGGTGTACAGCACAGAATTGATGTAGGTCATTGTATACAGGTAGAACTTATAATCTAAATGTTGAGTTGGTGTACAGCACAGAATTGATGTAGGTCATTGTATACAGGTAGAACTTATAATCTAAATGTTGAGTTGGTGTACAGCACAGAATTGATGTAGGTCATTGTATACAGGTAGAACTTATAATCTAAATGTTGAGTTGGTGTACAGCACAGAATTGATGTAGATCATTGTATACAGGTAGAACTTATAATCTAAATGTTGAGTTGGTGTACAGCACAGAATTGATGTAGGTCATTGTATACAGGTAGAACTTATAATCTAAATGTTGAGTTGGTGTACAGCACAGAATTGATGTAGGTCATTGTATACAGGTAGAACTTATAATCTAAATGTTGAGTTGGTGTACAGCACAGAATTGATGTAGGTCATTGTATACAGGTAGAACTTATAATCTAAATGTTGAGTTGGTGTACAGCACAGAATTGATGTAGGTCATTGTATACAGGTAGAACTTATAATCTAAATGTTGAGTTGGTGTACAGCACAGAATTGATGTAGGTCATTGTATACAGGTAGAACTTATAATCTAAATGTTGAGTTGGTGTACAGCACAGAATTGATGTAGGTCATTGTATACAGGTAGAACTTATAATCTAAATGTTGAGTTGGTGTACAGCACAGAATTGATGTAGGTCATTGTATACAGGTAGAACTTATAATCTAAATGTTGAGTTGGTGTACTGCACAGAATTGATGTAGGTCATTGTATACAGGTAGAACTTATAATCTAAATGTTGAGTTGGTGTACAGCACAGAATTGATGTAGGTCATTGTATACAGGTAGAACTTATAATCTAAATGTTGAGTTGGTGTACAGCACAGAATTGATGTAGGTCATTGTATACAGGTAGAACTTATAATCTAAATGTTGAGTTGGTGTACAGCACAGAATTGATGTAGGTCATTGTATACAGGTAGAACTTATAATCTAAATGCTGAGTTGGTGTACAGCACAGAATTGATGTAGGTCATTGTATACAGGTAGAACTTATAATCTAAATGCTGAGTTGGTGTACAGCACAGAATTGATGTAGGTCATTGTATACAGGTAGAACTTATAATCTAAATGTTGAGTTGGTGTACAGCACAGAATTGATGTAGGTCATTGTATACAGGTAGAACTTATAATCTAAATGCTGAGTTGGTGTACAGCACAGAATTGATGTAGGTCATTATATACAGGTAGAACTTATAATCTAAATGTTGAGTTGGTGTACAGCACAGAATTGATGTAGGTCATTGTATACAGGTAGAACTTATAATCTAAATGCTGAGTTGGTGTACAGCACAGAATTGATGTAGGTCATTGTATACAGGTAGAACTTATAATCTAAATGTTGAGTTGGTGTACAGCACAGAATTGATGTAGGTCATTGTATACAGGTAGAACTTATAATCTAAATGTTGAGTTTTACAGCACAGAATTGATGTAGATCATTGTATACAGGTAGAACTTATAATCTAAATGTTGAGTTGGTGTACAGCACAGAATTGATATAGGTCATTGTATACAGGTAGAACTTATAATCTAAATGTTGAGTTGGTGTACAGCACAGAATTGATATAGGTCATTGTATACAGGTAGAACTTATAATCTAAATGTTGTTGGTGTACAGCACAGAATTGATGTAGGTCATTGTATACAGGTAGAACTTATAATCTAAATGTTGAGTTGGTGTACAGCACAGAATTGATATAGGTCATCATAGTATACAGGTAGTCACTTCTTAATGTGTTTTGCCTGGGATGATCCACCTATGTCAGTCATTGTTTGATAGTGAAAATGTTTTATTCTGTATTTGCAGGGATGATTCGCCTGATTTCCAAGCATCATTCACAGCTCATCTACACAAGAAATACAACTGATGAATAATGCGGGATCTGTACAAAATAAATAAACGATGATAACATCTCTCTTTCTCCTTTTATTTTTTGTAAAGACTTAAAATTGTTATGTGTTTGTGAAGGGAAAGTTTTCATCACCATAAGCATATTTCTCATCAATTTTTTTCTCCATGGTAATAATGATATAGAAATAGTAAAAATTCATTGTCTATACGATACATGATCATGACAACTATACCTAGGGTATAAAGAAATTTCATAGCAACCCAAACACCAGTACCTTGGACTGGAACAACTGTTTTTACTCTGATAAAAAATTTTAACATTCCTTTGCAAAAATAGCAATGATATTCTTTTCCTGCCTAATCCAAAATGGAAACTGTTTTATTTCTGCTATTAAGTCCCAAAATCAAGCGGTCACAAGTAGAGACCAATGGGAATGCATGTATGACATTTGAGAGATCCAGTCAGCACTTCTTAGGAAATAGGGATAACAGTCTTTACTATGCGAAATCCAAGATATCTATCTAACAGTCATTTCATTTTTCTTGTCACTCCCAAACTCAAACAAGCACAACTAGTGACCAAGAGAAACCTATACGTAAAATTTTAGAAAGACCTATGCAGTATTTCTCAAGAAATGGTAATGAAACCAGCAGTATGAGGGATCAAGGGAAACGTACATATGAAATCTGAGAAAGATCTATGCTGAAGTTCTCAAAAATTGACAATTAACTCTCGAAGTCAAAATCCATTGTTTTTCTTATCAATCCCAAAATTAGATGGACGCAACAAGGGACCAAGGGAAACCTACATGTGAAATTTGAGAAAGATCAATTCAGTGCTTCTCAAAAAATAGCAATGAACTTGCAAAATCAAAATGTGAGATAGCCATCTGTTAGCCATTTCCTTTTTCAGGATAGTCCCAAAATCAAATGGGCAAAAAAAAGGCAAAGGGGAATCAACATGTGATATTTGAGAGAGATCCATCTAGTACTTTTCAAAAAAATACTGATAACAATCTTCATTGAAAAGTCCAAAATGGCCACCTGTGTTTCTGATCAGTCCCACAATCAAACAACTATCAAATTAGAGAGAGATCTGTCAAGAACTTCACAAGAAATGGCAATAATTTTTTCACTAGTGAATCACAGAAGTAGGGTGATTTGAACAGCCCATTGTCATCAGAGGGTGGGCTAAAACAAGGGACCATGCGGAAACTCCATGTGAAATTTGAAAAATATACATGAGTATTTCTCCAGCAAAAGTGGTTATCAACGAGTATGTTTGGTCAAAATCCAAGATGAATGCCTGTCAGTTGTTTTGCTTTGCAGATTGGTCCCAAAATGGGACAATGCAGTAGTAAGAACCAAGTAGAAGTGATAGATGAATTTTAAAATGATCCATGCAGGAGTACTTCTTAAGAAATAGAAATAAAAAAAAATTGTTCAATGACCAACACATTAAGGACAATTGGAACTGTCCACCAAAAAGCTTAAAAAAGGGCAATAACTCCCAGGACACCTTATGTCAACTCCTTAGTCTGGTTCCTTTCCCATCTCTGCATTCTTTAATGCGACAGGGTGGTACCCAGTGGGAAACCTGAGGATGTTTATGACTGGATGGATGAATAACATGGTTTAAAGGGGGAGGGGATGGGGGTTGGGAGGACAAGAAACAGGCAAGGCATTAATATAATAATAAGGAGGCCAGTAAATAAAGTTATGAAAAACTATTCACCACTGACACCAACTACAATTAACGCATGTTTTCAGATGCACAGTCCATATATATCCATTACGATATATTATTGGCATTATAGAAAATGCACCTTTACACTGAATTAACTTTAGTGTTGGATCAAAAGAGATTTGAAATACAAAACTACTCCGGATTCACACAGGGAAATCATGACCTTTAACCTCTTGATGATCAAGTTGTTTCAAGGGAAAAGTTGACACTGCACCATAAGGTTGCTTGTCCCTATGGGCAAGATGATCTATAAAACAACAGAATTAGAAAAAGGCATTCTGATGTCAATCAATCTGCCAGGTCACTTCTACCAAATACTGTAGGGAAGCTGCATCACAGAAATGTTCTATAAACAATATACTATACATCCATTAGTTATGAACTAATTTAATGATTAACACAATATACTACAAAGCATTTTTGGTCTTAAGTTTACTAAAAAAATATGTTTGTGAAAATAATTCCTGTTTCTGTTTAAAAGTTTCCCCAGCTGCCAGGAGACAAAAAAAGTACAACAATGTTGAGATTGAACACAAAATTTATTCTTTAAATTGAACATCCTCTTGAAAATCCTTTTGTTATTTTCAGTAAAATACAACACATATTCAACATGAGTTTATTATGTTGTAACACTCGCATACCTATACCTCAATCTCAGTACTTAGACCTACACAAGGATCCTGGTAGGAAAACGGGTACAAAAGCATTCTTAAATATTGAAAAGAGGGTTAAAAATTACACTCTCTCTTTCACTCCACCAACAAAATTATTAATATACATCAACATTTATTCCTTCAAGTCTTGCATTTCAAACCAGAAGATCAGTATTTTACAGCTTCAAATTGTAAAAGTGATGAAAGAGCATTAAATGTTGTTCCTCAATGATGAACTGCCATTGCCCGTTAATGATACTTGAAATTCATCTATACTTCAGTTACCCTCGGCCAGGTTTCCTTTGTTAACATACCTTAATATTCTATTCTAATAAGAAGCTAACTTCAAACTTCTTAAAATTTGAAAATGAACTTGAATCAATGTTTTCTTTCATTTCGTATCAGTTTAAGTCGGTATGACTTTACATGACATCCACAACACTACCAATTAAGCTGAAGAAACATGCTACATCAGCTGAGTGACCATGACTATTTAACACTATACAAACCACACCAACCACTTGCCAGGAAAATTTGTTGATTTTATCATTTAAATTTTTTTTCTTTTGTATAATTAAACTTGGGGAGGTAAAAGGCAGACAGTAATTATCACAGAGTAAATAACTTAATTGTAACTTTCCAATGAAAAATATCTGACACCAAAATAAAAGATGAACTGTCATAGTGATATGTAAATATCAAAGCCAATTCCAGTTTGATGTTACAATAAATGCAACTGATGAATATTTCATTTTACTATCAACAGAAAATGTCCTCGTAAATAATTCTACAAACTTTGATGACAGAATTAATGAAACACTATCATACCGAACTTTTTTATGAGCTGTTGTATGACTGATGTTATCAAATTAGGATATGAAGCACGAGGATGATGGCCATGGGCAATAACCAACCCTTTTCCGCATAAAATGGCATAAAGATTTTAACCCAAGCAGGACTGCCGCATCACAGGGAAAATAAAAGTCTTGGTAATGCTTTCATTCGCTTTGCATAAAAATAATTCCATATAGAACTTGCACGCTAATAGCACTTTCACATTTTATTACTCTCTCTCTCTGAAACAAATTCTAACAAGTGAAAAATGAAGATTGAGAATTACCAGTACACCATGTTTAGTACCACACTGATTGTGTACATGTAGCAAGGGAGAAATTGTTGCTATATATCATTGAAACATGTGAATTACTAAACCAGATGGGATATCGGGCAGTTTATCAGCAAGGCTTATCAGCTTTAAGTTGGCCACAACTCAAATACCACATCCGAAGTTTTCAAACATTCCATTCATTTTTGGGATTCAAAAACAATTTACAATTTACCTTTTGCAAAATTCTGATGCTAGTGATAAGAAATATATTACATTTGCAGTATTTATTGAAAATAAGTATGACAATTTTCGTTTACTATCTAAAATCGAATGTTGCACATAAGAACACATTTACATGAAAATATTTAGTCAACATTCCTACTTTCCATATTTTTGTGTTATGTCCATTTGTTCTTTGGCTTTTCTAGGACTTGAAAATTGTGCTTGATTTCTACTGAAATACTCAAGTTTAACATCCAATATGTCTGGTACTTTCCTGGAACATACCTGTGAAATATCTTGTGAACGTCATAATAAATACTTAACAGACTCTTCGGAGATATGCTATACAAAATCACTTTTTTGTATGTTCGCCCGATGCTAGCTTTGGACATCACTTTGCCTACATCCATCTGTCTGTTATACCACTCAATCAGCACTAGTCACTGTCTACCATCTCACACATTCATGTCTAGGAATCTTTTGCCACCAGAACTCCTCCAGATTTTACCTCCTGGTCTTGCTTCTCTGGCTCTTTGGACTCCTCTCCTTTTATCTTAAGATTGTGCTGTTCTCTGTACTTGTTGATTTCTGTTCCCTTTTCTTCTAGCTTTGTTGTCAAAGTTTCAGTTATTTTACCCATCTAGTGAATAAAAAAAGAAAAGTGAAAAAAACTGCAGTGCATATCACAATGGATCATGCTGATAATGTCTTGCTCTCCAGGCAAAATACTAAAGGGAACTTTGCATAGGAGTTCACACAAATGTACAAACTTGCTTCATACTTGTTGAAAACCTGGGAAGAGATAGGATTGAAGTCGTCACTATATTACCATTCAAAGAAATAAAAAACCAAATCAATTCCGCCAACTTTCACCTGGACAGAATGACAAACTTGATTGGGTTGTGTGTTACCTGTTCTCTGTTGGTGACGAGGGCAGGTAAAACATCTTTAACAGTCCTTTCCACCAAAACACCACCAACCATCCGGAAACATTTCCTGTCATCCTCAACTTCCTTCAGTGTTTCTATCACCAACCTAGAGAGTGTAAGACAACTATAATCAGTTATACAATATAAAGTGTATAAACAGAGAATCGATTGTGAAGACAATTTAACATCATGAACAAGGTTTATTGTTGCGTAATTATCTATGCCCACTAGTGCAGACACAGCTAGACAGGAGATCATTTACTCTGATGCTTTGTCATTTTTTTCTGGAAAATTATTTCTAATACTGATATACTGAAACTGATGTTTGTGCAAAGTCCCTTGAAAATTGTAGTACCAATACAATGGAACATCCTTTTAGTTTGGGACTAATAAGTTGTTTAAAATACTGTGAGTGTAAGCTACAGTGCCATCCAAATCTTATGACAAACATTTCAACACTCTTTAGTAGACAAACACCCATATAAATTGGAGACTTAATAATGTTACCAACATATTCCAAAAATGTTAAAGGTTTAATACGGCCGAAACATCTACGTGTGTTTCTGTTTCAGATTGACCGTGCAATTGAGTAACTATCTGATTACTCAAAACAGTAATTATCCTCAAATGAAGGACTATTATCCATATAAGGGATTGTGCTCAACCTGGTAAATGAAGCAAGGAGAACACACAAACACACTTTTGGAGAATGGGTCCTTCAGGCTATAAAGTTTATCAGATATTCAAATTATCACATATTCGAAACGCTGGACCATCATAATATTAATACGGCGGTCATTTCTGACACTTGTGTATCATGGAAACAGAAACACGTGTTTACAACCACGAGTATGCGAGAATCAAGTGAAGTAACTGTCCTTGTTTCACAAACCCACAATACAGTTGATTACAACTTACTCGTGTTCCTTCATATCCATCTCTAATTCTGATATTTTGGTCGCAAATGCCCTTTGTTGCTGCCTAAGTTCCTGAAAACCGGCTACGATTTGTTCAGCGCTCTGCTTGCTTTTCGTCGCCATCTTGAATAGTTTGGATTAAATTTTCAGACTTCGTGTTTTGTTCGAAATCATAATAAATTATTCAAAATCTTATTTTCAGATATTGTATGATCAAAAATTGATTTTTATATGCTTTCTTGTGCAAAGAAAATGATTAATATTTTCAAAAGTGTTTCTTTTTGTTGATCTAAAATTTAAATTAGCGTTTCGTTCAAATGCGTGTGATTTGTAAAATCTACAAATCTCCTCAAATGAGGCACTTGTTTACATGATGGCGCTCACACTTGAAATTAGGTGGTAATGGTGATATGAAATGGCATCCTTTACATGATGCTCAAGAAGCAGAATGGTTTCAAAGATCCCCAAGTATCAACGATTCAGGTGATTATAACCAAGAGTAATTGATTTACCTGATTTGACAAGGCCACAATGCCTAGCAATTACGAACCTAAAAGAATGAAAACATGCTCAAACTTGAGTAAAACCTCAGATCGCCTATAGGGTATTAATTCAAATCTGTTGTAAAATAGTTTGTTTGCTGTGTTTAAGTGTTAACAAGTTTGCAAGATACGAAATATCCGTCACTGCATATAATTCAAATGCAGATAATGTCAAATAATGTTACTGTACATTTGATTTTTTTTTTATTCTACATTTAATCCTACTCGAAATAAGACTCTTATCAAATGCTGCTTCAAATGGTAAACCTGAGAATCTCAAATAAGATGCAAGACCTACAAGAAACACAACAAAATAAAATATACACACCTGGCTATTCCTAACTCAAAGAAATGTGAATTCATTTTATCATATTTAACAAAATCATACAGTATCATATAGCAGTTACGATCCTGGGTATCAAAGGGAAATAAAAAGATTTGATTTATCATATTTACTTAATTAAAATGTCAATTCAAATAATTTTGTTTTCAAAGTTCTTAGTTAAAGCAGTTAAAGTGGTGAAAAAAAGCAATTGATACATTACAGGTCATATTTATGAAAGGAGGGAAGAATGTATAGTTACAAAAACTGCATGCTTCATTAGACTGACTTTTGACTAGAGTATGATGAGAAGTTCTGGGTTCAGATATTGACAGGAGGTCATGATAACTCCGTAGGTAGACTGCCAGACCAGTGCAATTATTTTCCAGACAGGCTAAATTATAAGATCCTTATGAATTTTGAAGCTGAGCATGAGATCACTGTGCATGTCTTGGTGGAATATTTGGGCAAGACACTTTAAATTCACCCCTACTGAATACCATGTCATGTGATAGGCTTTCCACATGATATACATCACTAAGAAGTAATTATGCAAAGTTCTGTGAAGCAGTAACACCGTAATAAAAAATTACATGGTTTTCACTGTCAGATGAGAATATGAGTGAAACTGGGTTGGAGAGCACTTATTATTTATATTTCTTCAGCTTATATGCCTTATTAATATATACAAGATATGTGACCGACATACACATTTCATGCCTATTGGTATAAGATATACACCAAGAAAAAATGTGCATTCTTTTTTCAAATTGTGTGTTATAACTATTGACCCTCAAAGCAGACCAGGACTTGGATGATGGTAAACACCTTCAGCAACATAAGGATATATGTATTTTATATTGTTCAGATGTTTAAGCAATTAAACTCAATTGGTCTTTGGCTAACTTGTGGAAAATCAAGCATATTTATGTTACAAATTACGTAAAAGACTTATGTTATCTTACTTTCATGTTTAATATTTCTAGGGATCCATTTGCTGAAGATCCTGTGCCAAAGGCATTTTACCATCCCACTCAGCAAAGGGACCTGTCACCATCACAAAAACGGGTAGGATTATGAACTTAGTAATATATTTATGAACAGAATGAAGTATATATGTGATATGGACGTTTTGAGATCAAGTCCCCAATGTGTTAGCTAGGAAATTCATGGATAGAAGGCTATCAAAATAAATAATTTCTCAAGGCCTAATCATCACTGGAAAAAATAAAAATTGAAGTGAAAAATACAGCTCTTTGAGGCAAGAATGAAATCAATAGGGAGAATGAATATACAGTATGATTAATAATATTTATATATGTACAATAAAATATGCATGGAGTTAAAATAAGATTTTCTGGGCTTCTGCAATAAACATCTATCATATGTCTGATATCTTGTGTTTTCTCGGTGGTAAGCCTGGTTGTTCCTTTTATGAGTGAACTTTTTAAGGTTTGTTTGTATATAGATATGATTAGAAATGAAAAATAAGAAATTCTATTGTGTTCACTGAAAGACATTGCATTTGGTAGCAGTACCACAATTCCGCCAACCTACAAATAATTGATATAAGATGTAGCGAGTGTTAATTGATGATATTGACTTTAGGATGAATCACTGATAACCTGTTGTTTTTCTGATGTTGAGTGAAAAGAATCTTTCACCCCCTTTAAGGTGAGATAGATGCATATCAGTCATGTGGTAAACCTGATGATTAAATTAGCTAGCATGAGGCTTGCGGAGTGTTTGGAACTTAAACATCTCAGGTCACACAATCTCAGCAACAAGAGAATGAATGGTTATTTTTCTCTTAAAGCCCCAATATACGTATATATCACTATAAAAAAAACAAACTTTATCCTATTTTCCCCGTAATATATGTAACAAATTTATTTTTTTTTAAATAAAATTTTTAATTCATTTTTTTTTTAAATAAAAATTTTAAAAATCGGAAAATAAACAATGTGGGACCCACAATAATTCATACATTACCGCTCGTAGCGATGACATTGCGCATGCGCATATTCCGCGTGTAAACATGGCAGACACAGTACAGACGTCCACCAGTCGCTTCCTGTCTTTCCAATCATAATTATGTGTAATTCTATACTAAAGTTTTGGTGAATGTTACGTATATTGGGGCTTTAACCTGCTGGCTCTATTAGATTCTTGTATGTGTTTTTTCTTGTCTCAATGCCTTGCATTGTTGACATAGTGTAATTGTTGATGTGATATCAGTGAACGTTTTGCTGGGATATTATATCATTATCCTGACGGGGAATCCCCCTTGTCTGAAAGCTAGTGTGAAATCTCACAACAGTAAAAAAGCATGGACTTATCTGTCCTGAGTAAGAGAAAATTCCATCCATATGTTTTATTCGAAATATTTGTTAAAATTTAATGTCTAAAAATTCAATTCCAATTACCTTTGTAAAATTTTACCCTCAACTTACCAGGTGTCTCTTTTTGCAATTTGCATGGTATAAAGATATGAAGTGTTTGTTTTAGACTGCGCTGAGTCCAGTCCGTGGTCCAAACAAGGGAGATAGTGATAGGGCAAAGCTGACAGTTCCAGACAAACAGTTTTTAAAAGGGGCAAATACTCTGTCCAGTGAGACGCCTCCAAGACTAGGTCAAGATGTTTCACCAAAATTTGATGAGTCCTGGCCTAGCAGTGAACATCAGTCCACTGTAAGGTAAATGTATGCCCTTCTGTGGAGTTTATGAAACAGTACCACTTTTTCTGGTGATAAATAGTTTCAAAGAAGGATATCAATTTTTAAAAGATTTTTTTCTTTGGAGGCCAGAGCACCAATCCCAAACTTTTGTAATTCCAGTTACAAAGAGATATAGTTGGTTCTCAAAATTTGAATGAGTCCCACAGGAAAAACAAGAGTCTAGGGCTACGGAAAATCATTGTAACGATACTGTTTCATGTTAAAAAAATTGATCTGGTGTCAGAGTAATCATTTCTGTTTTGTTTTCAGCTTGCTTGGTGTGGATAATCAGAGTCCAGAAACAACAGATTTATCCGGGAAGTATTCCTCCTACATCGACCGATTCTCTGACCTGAAGCAGACATTGCAGTTTTCAGAAAATGATAGCACATTGGTCAGCAGAAAGCATAAAGCCATGGACACACAACATACCACAAAAGAGAGTGACCCATCAGCTCCAACATCAGTGCTTAGCAGGTAAAATATCTTTTGAACACAGGCTTGACTGAAATACTTTATAAACAATTCATTTGTTGAGTAGATCTTATGTCTATTTTACTTGCCCTTCAGACCAAGATATTTCTAACACTTGGGAATGTTATCTATCCTAGATCATTTTTCTTACATCATGATTCCAGTAAGTTAGATAAGTATTTAAATCCTATTGCCATGGGAAACAAACACCTAATATCAGGATATTTTAGCACTGTGCAATTTTGGCAGAAATATCAAAGATGTAACTTTTGCGATTTTTGCTTATACAATAGTTATATATCTTTTGGTTATTTTATCACCTTAGAAATTTGAAAGGCCTCTTTTGAAAACATCAGAATGTACAAAGCTTACATATATACCAGAGCAGATTCTAACATGAACTGGAGATCTAACTGACTGGTCATATTAGATAAGAGGTTTATATAGCAACAAGTATATATTTATTTCAGATGTATTGACAACTAGACAGTGTTTAGGTGCATTTAACTACCTCAACTCTATAAATGCATTACTCATGTGTTTACATTAACAAGAACACAAACAAATTTTGCAATTTTAATTGGTTTTATTTCGAAAGTGTCACTTAATTTGTAAAAATCAAATACATACAAAAAATTCCTGATATGCTGTTCATTTTATTGACAGGTACATTGAAAGATTTCGACAGGGCCATCCAATGAGTCGGGAAGAACGTAAGAAATCGTCCAAACCTGGGGACTTTTGGTGGCTGGATCAGGAAGGCAAGGGGAAGTCACCCTCAGACAGCTCTACTCCTAGAGAAGTTTATGACACACACAGAGCGAAGACACAACGACTTACGGAAGAGTCACTGGCCAGTCTGTCTCAGTCCAGAAAAAACAAATATGTGGTATGTACCTGGCAGCCTGGTAACCCCTACCATTGAATTGAACTTTAAAATTTCTTATCATTAAATTTGAAATCACAAGATTTGCATGTTGATGGCACTATAAAGGTGTTTTTGAGTCTCCATCCTTAACATCTGTCCCATTTGTCCTGTTGTTAGGAGCAATTGGAAATAAACACTTTTTTTACTATATGATTTTATGGATCTTTCAGGACCCAAGTAAATCTCGACATGTTCCACCATCACCCTCTGAAGAACGCATCAGGAAACTCCAAGAGAAAGCTGACAGATTTCTGGAAAAAAGGTTAGAACTTGTATTATATAGTTAAATTGAATCGCAAATGAATGAAAGAAAGGGACGTGTTCACTGTAGGGGACAAGTTGCTTTCACCAGGATTATTCCTGTTCGTGTATACATGTTTGTGTGGTTCCAACAGCCTTAAGTGTTTATTTCTCATTTGATCTGAATTCATGCAATATTAATATCACTAAAGATGAACACACTGGGGGGACTACATAATTGAATGCCAAGCTGAAATATTTAAAAGCTCATTGCCACAGCATGGTAATTCTTATGTCTTAGTGAAGAAAGTTAGATAGTTATTTGTTGAAAGTCAAATCAGACATAAAATGTAGTATATATATACACATGTATATCTATACACATCATCATTCCCAGTGTGAGTAGTCTGGCAACCACAGATCAAGACTTCGAGGTCAGCACAGAGGGACTTGGAAGCTCTGTAGGAGAGACAACACAAATCAGCTTAGAAGAACTGCCATATCGACCGAAATTTGTTAAAGATTTAAGTAAGTATATAGTATTGCTGTTTCCTTTTTAAACCTTACTCATTATTACTTTTTATATGCCACCAGAGGCGGTCGTATATTGGCATCATCTTCTCTGTCTGTCCGTACGTCCGTCCATACATCCATTTCTTGTGAACACAACTCCTCAACAACTTATCATCAGATTTTCATAAAACTTGCTCAATGTCACTACTACAGTGGGTAGATGTGCATGAATGGGCAATTTTGTTGTTCGTTGATTTTTGTAAGATTTATGCCATTTTCGACTTTGTATCTATAGCTTGCTCATAGTGGAGCCTTGCGAACGCAACTCCTCCTAAAATACAGATTTTCATGAAACTTGCTCAATGTCACTACTACAGTATGTAGATGTGCGTGAAAGGGCGATTTTTGGTTCTTTGTAAGATTTATGCCATTTTCAAGTTTGTATCTGTAGCTTGCTCTTAGTGGAGCTTTGTGAATGCAACTCCTCCTAAACTTATAATAAGATTTTCATGAAACTTGCTCAGTGTCACTAATACAATGGTTCAATGTCATGAAGGGTCGATTTTACTGGTCTCACAGACTTCATTTTGAGCTTATGTATACAGACATGTTAAAAGCGATAATTAAAAGGACCAATCTTGATCTTTATATTTTGTGGCGGCGTATATTATGTCCACGGCACTCTTGTTAGTGAAATAGTTCACAGGTTTAGACATTAATCACATTTAAAAAGAGTGAGTACTTTCAAGACATGATAATACCAACCAGAAATAGTAAACCATTTTTCGAAGAATTTCACCTTCGAACTCTTGTCATCCAATGATACCTGGTGCATCATTCTCTGACAGAGACATAACCATCACTGTAAAAACTGGTACCGCAGTAAACGTTAAGATAGAAACACGACCATCACTGTAAAAACTGGTACCGCAGTAAACGTTAAGACAGAAACATAACCATCACTGTAAAAACTGGTACCGCAGTAAACGTTAAGATAGAAACACGACCATCACTGTAAAAACTGGTACCGCAGTAAACGTTAAGACAGAAACTTAACCATCACTGTAAAAACTGGTACCGCAGTAAACGTTAAGACAGAAACATAACCATCACTGTAAAAACTGGTACCGCAGTAAACGTTAAGACAGAAACTTAACCATCACTGTAAAAACTGGTACCGCAGTAAACGTTAAGATAGAAACATAACCATCACTGTAAAAACTGGTACCGCAGTAAACGTTAAGATAGAAACACGACCATCACTGTAAAAACTGGTACCGCAGTAAACGTTAAGACAGAAACATAACCATCACTGTAAAAACTGGTACCGCAGTAAACGTTAAGATAGAAACATAACCATCACTGTAAAAACTAGTACCGCAGTAAACGTTAAGACAGAAACATAACCATCACTGTAAAAACTGGTACCGCAGTAAACGTTAAGACAGAAACATAACCACCACTGTAAAAACTGGTACCGCAGTAAACGTTAAGACAGAAACATAACCATCACTGTAAAAACTGGTACCGCAGTAAGACAGAAACATAACCATCACTGTAAAAACTGGTACCGCAGTAAACGTTAAGACAGAAACATAACCATCACTGTAAAAACTGGTACCGCAGTAAACGTTAAGACAGAAACATAACCATCACTGTAAAAACTAGTACCGCAGTAAACGTTAAGACAGAAACATAACCATCACTGTAAAAACTGGTACCGCAGTAAACGTTAAGACAGAAACATAACCATCACTGTAAAAACTGGTACCGCAGTAAACGTTAAGACAGAAACATAACCATCACTGTAAAAACTAGTACCGCAGTAAACGTTAAGACAGAAACATAACCATCACTGTAAAAACTAGTACCGCAGTAAACGTTAAGACAGAAACATAACCATCACTGTAAAAACTGGTACCGCAGTAAACGTTAAGATCAGGAACATTTTGGTTCCAGGCAAAGAAAATGTTGCTCCACGGCTAAATCTCGGAGTTCCAATTTCCATGGTTACTAAGCCAACATGTCCAGAGCAAGACATCCTTTATCAATGGCGATTGAAGCGTAAAATGGAACAGGCAAGGGAGAGAACTGCTAATGTTAAAGACACCTCTGCTCCGAGTACATTTGTGCCAAAATCACAGACAATGGTATGTACAAGTGCCATGGCTTAACAAAGGTTGTGACTGCAACAAAAGACCAGTGATATTGATAACACAAATTTATGTCTTCCTTCCATATAAATTGTAACCATGGCAATGAGTATCTGTAACAAGACTCACTGGAAAACAAGTTGTGCAAGTCTCTGTCTGAATTTTTTTGACTGATAAACCATTTCGAAAAATCATGATATCTGCTTTTATAAATTCATGTTTTTTCTTAAAATTTCATTTCATAGTTTTAAGTTGTTAAATTTGAATATTTGTACCAAAAAGTTTATGTATATGTTCATTAATTCTGTTGTTAGGGCGATGTGGAAAAAAAGTTGGAAGAATTTAAGCAGAGATTGTCAGAAGGGAAACTTGGAGTACCTGTAACCCCTCAAATGACAAATGGTATAGTCAGCTTCACTCCAGCGCCAAGCCTTCCTCACCATTCTGATGGAAAGGTAAGGGGTGCCAGGTCCAAGAACCATATAGAAAAGTGATTAAACAGACACTTTTTATCCTGAATTAACCTGGTAGAATTTTAAAACATATTTCAAGATTGTTTAGATTTTTGATTTTTTTTCAGAGTGGATTTGTACATATACATTGATCCCCGGGAAGGTTTACATTTCTGTCCAGTATTGATGTCAGTATATATGTATATACATATTGATAGCTGCAATTATATACAGTTTATCAATGTTATGAATTTCTTCATTTTACATGCTGATGGGGTACCAATAGAAATAATATCAATACGTAAGTGATGTACTACATAACTTGTAAACTGTCGATTATCTAGTTTTTACAATTTTTCAGGAAGATACAAGTGCACCTAGAAACTTTCAAGGGAGACCTGATGTGGGATTAACCAAGGGCGATTCCAGCAATTCTGGGACGTATCCCCCCATTGCAAGTCCCACCCTCAAAAGGAAAGTCAAAAAGGGGGAGGATGTTGAGCCTCATCTTCATCTTATGTGTGATTTACTACCTTGTCCCCACCAATCAGAATTCTCTAAACGGTACGGAGAAGTTCCAGTTAATGTTGCCTCTGCAGAAAATGTGAAAGAATCGGAAAGTGAGACTTATAAATATCTGGAGGCAGAGAGACCGGATATAGAAGAGTCGATTTCTGATCACAAGTATGATCAGAGTGATGATTCAGGTCACATGGGCACCAGCTCTGAGGTCAGAGGTCAGAGCAGAGAGGTTAAGCGGAGAATAAAATATGATGGTGATATCAATACTGAAAATGAAATAGCTGATCAGGGTCCAAAAAGGAAGGACAAAGCACCTGATGAAGCTACGAGTTTCTCACAAAGGGATGATGATTCATTATCAGATCACAACAATGTGCCTTATCAGCAAAAGAAGCATACCTTTAGAGAAGCGTCCGTCAGAAATAAAGAGGATTTATTGTCAAAAGAAGAACATCAGGAAATGAAGGAGAGAAAAGAAGAAAAGAAAAAGGGCAGAGAAGTCCGAGAGAGATCTCGACAGAAAGGAAGAAAGGAAAAAGAGGATGTAAAGAGTGTTCCTGTTCTCCGACAGTCACAAAGTCCGAGGCCACAGGCAGGACGGAAGAAAGTCCCACATGTAGAATCCACTATCGGGCAGGTTAGTTGTACTGATCTAGTATACATAACAAGGTTTTATGGAAATATTTCATAGTGTTAGTTAAAAAAAATGGAAATCATTCAAAGATTATATTTTTCACTCCTGTTGTCTGACATGGAAGTGGACAGGAGCTGATGATGTGAAAGGAAGTAGGAGCATCTAGTCGCCCTGAATACCCCATTGTCATGGTGTGGTATAATATACCGTTAATTTTCTGAATCAAGTCCACACCACCAGAAAGTATATAGATTAGGGAATCATTGATATGTTTGCAGTTTCACTGAAAGATAATTTAGATATAACAATGATCTCACATTTACATACTTTGGAGTTCAATGCTGTAGTGTTAATGCACTCATCAACCCAGGCAATATAAGTGTGATTCCATATTAGGACAGAAAAAAAGGTAAAGAACCACTTGTCTGACCACATGAATTTTTCTCTGGATACTCTGCTTTTCTCCCACTTTAAGATTAAGATTTCTCAATTAAAAGAAAAAGAATTAAATTTTGATTAGAAAGAAAACAATTTAAAAGAGTGTTGGTGTAAAAAAAGTAATTCAAAGCTTTTGAGTTGATAAAATCAATATTTCATTCCTATGTGTTTTTGAGAGGGTCATCATCACTTAATTTTATGTTTTTGTCTTTATTTAGGTGATAAAAGACCGATTGTTTGATCTGTCCACAAGCTCTGTCATCTCCAGTGTTGACAGCATGCCCACCTTCATGTCTCCTTCAACGTCATTGGACCAGACCATGTTGGAGGCGCAACCTCCCCAGGGCAGGCTTCCACAGACTCAGGTGTCTACCCCAGAAACCACAGAGTCTCAGCCACACCCTCGAGTCAGCCAGAATGAAGGTATTTACACATGTAGTCATGTAACTGGATATTCCTGCAATTTCGCATATGACCACAAAATTATAGCCAGAAAAATAGGTGTCCCAAAAATGATGCAAAAAATTTTTTTTTTTTGAGATGTTCAAACTCTGTTAAATACACACACTCACAAAAATTACTTATTTCTTGGGAGTAAATTGCAAAAAATTGCATCTGCAAAAATAGCAAGCTCTTAATATAACATGTATCAGCAGAATGGTTGAAGTTGTAAACATAATATACTAGGTGGTCTGTAATGATTGTAAGCTAGAAAACAACATCTGTGATACATTTGTCAGTACAACATATATGTACATGTACATTTTTTTAATCAGATAATAGTCTATTGCTTAATTCTTCTACTCGTCCTATGAACAAGTATATCGTGCAACACATTTTAAAATGTAACAGAGAAATTCACATGCAGAATTAGATAATATAGGCTTTGCTCTTTAACTAGAAATATATGTGATGTATTCATCTTTGTTACTTACAAACCAAACTTTTAAGGTAAGGGATAAACACTTAAAGATTCTGTTAGACATGTTGTGTTCCTTTTTCTTTTTCTTTTTTTTTAGGAATCACCAGAAAATGGAACATGATTTGAAACATGGTGTAATAATATATATTTTACTTTCTCAAGCTGAAGTGAAATTCAGAAAAGATTTGATGTTGACTTCAAAACATATCAGATAATAAAACTTTTTGGAAAGGGTTGATTCGAAGACGGATGTTGTATGAGTACAATTTGTGCATCATTTTTTATAAGATTAATCTCTCCAACACGATATAAATCTGTTTTATAAATAAAAGGACAAGTTATGGACATTTATATAAAATTTGACAAGATCAATTTGTCCTTTGTTTTCAGATGAAGAATCTGATGGTGAATTCCCTGACGACCAGCTGCTGACCATGTTACGTCGTCAGAGGACACAATATGAGGAACAATTACGGTTAGTACATATATGACTTGGTCTTGACAGAATGACTTGTAATATTCAACTTACTTTTTAAGCATTAAACTGTCTTATGGCATTAATGGTCGTTATAAATGCCAGAGTTTTGAAGGTACCAGGTAATAACATAAAACCATGTTTATTCAAGGAAAAGTCATGTCATGAAGGGAGCAGTCATTGTTTCAGCATTGAAATATCGTACATAGGAGTGTACATTGAAAAGTCTTGTTAGCAAAGACAAGATGGAAATGCGCAGATATAGAAATTACTACAAATAACAATTATGAATGTTCTGACTGCAACAGAATCTGTTAATTGTTTGTGGCTACTTGCAGGGTTATTGATGAGAAACTAAACACTATAGCAAGGAATGGAAATGGAGACTCAGGCAGATGACAGGAACCAATACTGTCGGAGGACACTACTAAATTGGAGACTCAGACAGATGACAGGAACCAACACTGACAGAGCACACTACACTCTATACATTATATGAATATTGAATGAATGCTTCTGTTTGTCTTGACGATGAATCACCTAAATTCTTGTACTGTCAGAAAAAGAAATTTTATTAAATGCCTTCTGTATTACACTCATTTTTCTATCGTTCAGTAAAGAGAAAACAATATATTCGGGTCAATTTCAAGTGTTGTGTTTGTTACACCAGTGACGTAGACGATTTGGATCTGACATCTGCGGGCATATATATTTTTTTTTTCCAGAATATACCACAGTCACTCTCTTAGTTTTGAAACTGTACACTAGAGGGACTTGTTAGTGCTGGGTGTGGTAGTATTTGGATAACATTCAAATTAAAAAATGACCTGTATAATGACCAATTAACATATGGTCTATGTTAGCTATTTAGTCATAACTACACAAGTTTTCAATTTAGTTTTCAAATAGTAATATAAATCAATAATTTTTGCCAAACCAAAAAAATGTGTGACCCTATTGTGTGTGTGTGGAGGAGGTACGCAGCAAGTCTTTGGTGCGTTGTGAGATATGATAACTGTAGGTTATAAGACTATAAGATTCAGGAAAATTAAATTTGCCTTTTGTATAATTCATAATGAGATTGTATTTATTGATAGATAATAAAACTTGAACAAAGATAAAGTGGATTTTGTGTTATTGCTTAATATTTATTTCAAAGTGGTTGAATCTGAAGAAAGGATGAGCTGAATACAGGAGGGATGAGCTGTAGCATGGATAAGCTGGCAATCATTGGGACATATTAGTTAACTGACATGAAGATTAGTCCAGTATAGACAGTCTATCTAACAGAGTAACAGTGAAACTGATGAATTCTCTCTGAAAACATATTTACTGGGCAAAAAAGGGGTTAACTAAGGGCTTGATGGCCCTGAAATTGGCACACTACACATGGTCTCAATATGACAAGTGTATTCACCCAAGTTTGATGGTCCTTGCTTAACTGTGGGCAAAGTTATGCTTAAAACATAAAGAGAACAGAAGGAAAGACAGATGCATTAAGATGCTCTCCGTTTCAGATTCATACAGTACAGTTTTGTATCAACAGTGCATCTTGGGAAGGAGGGGCGTAACCTAATATAGCAATTGGATGAAACGTTTTCGCTTAATCCTGATTTACTGGTGTTTTGTTTGTACTTACCGGTTTGTTATAAGTTGTTGTGCTCAATAATATCAATGACCTAAACGGTTTTTAAACAAAACTCAAAACACATAATTTTTGGCTAAACGTAACACAGCCTCGGCCCCCATCGACTGTCAAGCTTATCGCTATACCATCAGACAGAGTGAGACACTGAATTATATGAAGATAAAAGTGATTGCTACCAATCCTAGCTTTTTGATGGTGGAAATATCCTAACGACTTATCAGTGACTCCTAGCGGTAGTTGTACCCTATAAACTATCTTGTCATACATATTGTTGCCATGAGGCAATCAGGTATACTAAACACTTACTAAAATTGAACATAACACATGTCTTTTTTAAATTCCTCGTCAAACAATATTCTCCACAAACCATTCTCTACCGATTTTTAATTTCCTGTCTTGCTAGTAGCTCTCACGTTATAAACACTTCGTCCTGATTTTGTATGATTTCAACTCGGATAGCATTAATATATACAGTAATAATTTATTTAATTTTTGTCGATCGAATTTTTTTCCGTATCGGATAATCCCGGACAATCAATTAGGACGATCCTTACAAAATCTTTGATTTTCCAAAGGGAAAATACATAAAATCCTAGAACTATGTAATGTGCACATTCCCCATTTTTGACCCTTTTTTTCTTAAAAATGCGCCTTTTTACGCACGGATTTTTACGGCAGCAACATTTACCATATATAATCTGTTATAAAGTGGTTTTTTTTCTGGGTTCAAAATCCAGTACCGATGTCGGTAGTAATCTCTTGATTTGGAAGTTTAAATTGTTTCCATGAATAGTACATTTTGCACAAATTTCACTGATTTCATGGAAAATGTTTTCAAAATTTCAAATTTGTACGTTGATATTCATCTTCTATGAAAGTGTTTAGATTTTTGGGATGTGACTGATTACATCATCTATATATATATATTATCAACATATTTAACCTTTCAGTAATTTCAGAAGTTTGATGTTACCTAGTTTCTGTTTTATATCATTGCCGTCAATTTCAATGAGAACATACCAGATTGTTTTTGGTACTTACTTTGAAGCATTCTTTAATTCTGTTTCCATGTCTCTTCATGGACTTATTTAAAGGTCGCCTGTAATATATACCGATATTTTAAGCGTGATTTTATTGTGAGTTTTATTGACATTGAACTGCGTTTACCTTTATGAAAATATAGTCGTTTGTTGGGACATTCCCTTGTAAACCAAAGTTTGTTAGAATTACGTCTTCTGTTGATTAAATGAAAAACTTTCCCTAAGATATCGTTCGCCGAATGTTTTAATAAATTGCTGCCTGTATTTACTATGTCAGTTATTTCGACGCCTATGAATAAATTACATGGTCTCCCCGAAATCAGGTCCAGTATTACAACAATATATCTGAAGGTACGTTTATCTTCAATATAGTTAACCATGTTCGATACTATAGCAATATTCTATTTCATATAGTTACTTGTATGCAAATGTTGCTTATACCACTTCGATTGTGTTTCCGTTCTTTTGAAACAGAATTTAAGTCTACTATGGACATTTGAAATCAAAAGATCAAATCCGAAAATTTCGAAATCGGTACAAAAAGGTTAACGATAATGAAAAATAGTCAATTACATTACAAATTTTCTTATCAACCAATCTGTTCTTTTCAGCTCGACCATCGTCTGCGGCAACTTTTCTTTAAAACAAAATTCTATCGGTTTATAGCTAAAATTATTTGATCATACCTTAACCATTTATTCCGTTTTAATGGTACATGTACATCAAGTTTATTTTGCAGATCATAAATATATTTGTAAAGTTCGTCGTTCACATTTTGACAATAGCTTAAGTATGTATATAATCAGGTTACACACAGTCATCTTTACGTAGAGTTTTGTCATTAAAATCACCAACCAGCGATAATTTACACCCTAAGCGCCAAGAAATCACTACCTCCTACAAGGAAGTGCTTGGGCAATGAATATCACCTCTTTTAACAAAGTCTTCGTCTCGTCAGCTCTGGTCCCACGCTGCTTTTGACTGGAGATCATGTTTCGAAAATCATAGATTTTTTAATGTACCGTAGGTATTGTCGTTACATCAGTAATCAAGGCATTCTTATATAATCACTAATGGTATTTTTATTTTTTAGGCCAATCAACGTAGTTTCCCAATGGTAATTTGAAGAGACTGGTTTTTTCATAGCCTTATTTGACGTTTCCGTGGTTTACAAACTTGACGTCACATGTGGTATTATGGACACTTTAGACACCTGGCCCCATTGTATAAAACATTTCAACTTGAGATTTCCTCAAGTCGAGATTTTCCTCAGCTGATATCTCCTCAAAAAACGGCTTGTATAATATTTTCTCAAGGAACAGGAGGAAGTCATCAGCTAGGATGTCCTGAAATTCCTTGAGGAATTTTCATACAAGATATTTTCAAGGAGATATTAGCTGAGGAAAATCTGGGCTTGAGGAAGTCTCAAGTTGAGATGTTTTATACAAGTGGGGCCAGGTCCCAGTTGTTCAAATGTTGGTTAGGAATAACCAGTGGTTAGTGAAAACTAAAAAAAAAATGGATGAAACAAAAGTGAGAAGTCAGATTGATATGGTTTGAGTGTTGATTTTGAATTTAACACTCTTCTTGGTACAGTGGCAGCAATTTGATGGGACGGGCACCGCTTTTACTCGGAAATCTAGTTTACGTTTTGATTGTTAAATCTCTGTTATTATAACTATATTTAGTCCTTCGAATCACCTTGCACTCGTCCTCAGTCTCCGTATCTGGTATTGAGTTAATACTTAACAGGTATTCGACATTTTCCGTGAACGAGTTTTCAACGGAAAGTGCCAACAGTGTTTACACCTGGTCAGTACTTACTACAAAGTTGTGTAATCCTAGAAGAGAACAGCGCCCCCTTACGTCCGCTCTCTGATTATACTTATCGGTCAGAGATTTAATACTGTTTACACAGGAAGAACGTTTACACGATATGCCAGTCGTTTACAGTGAACTAGCTGTGACAAAGCTTGGCATAAGAAATGATAGAATTCCTTCGAATTCGTAAGAATTGTGATTGACATGCCTGAACTAGACAGAATACATTTTTCTGTCAGGGAGGAAACAGCGAGACTTGTACGGAACAACGCTGTGCCATACACAACCGCCAACCGGTCATAGGTTCGCCCAGGTTAACTCCGATGTTGTCCTGGACATAGAGGGATGAACTGTACTTTTAGTGCTAGTATTGAGGAGGGTGTATCTTTCTACTTCAGTGCTAACTCTAAAAGTTAGAAAATCGATAATACCAAATATACAATAACCAAATCGAAACAATGTGAATCACACGAAGACAATGACAGAAACAACACAATATGATTTAACAATGTTTGACATGAAATAATTTTAAAGTTAGTGTCCCACTTTTATTATTAGGGTGTAATGGACAGGCGACGTCTATATTTAGTACAGTTATCAGAAAGCAAGCAGGAAGTGGATTGTTAATATCATTGTCAATATCAAGGCGAAAGAATAGCGGTCCTTTCTCATCATTATTAAAAGGGGCCTGGGAGAGAGGCTTAGGGTCCAACCATTATCAGTGGACTAGAGGAGAGGATAGCAATTCATTATCGGTGCCATTACCAAGGGCCAAGAGGAAAGGGTAGCTTTCCATTTTACAGCCATTATTAGGGGTCTAGGGAGAGGACGACAACAAAAAATAGTGTCATTACCGAGAGTATAGAAGAGAGGGTAGATTTCCATTTTTGCAGCTATTACTCGGGGTCTAGAGGAGAGGTTCATTTTCGATGCCATTATCAGGGATTTCTTTATTCAATGCCAGTATAGTAGGTCTAACACAGACGATAGCGGTCAATTTTAATTGTTATTTTCAATGCAATAGAAACCATGGAAGGACCAATTTCAATTCCATTATTTGAAGACTTGAGAATAGTGTGGTAGTCCATACATTCATAGGTCGAGTTTCACAGACAACATATAGCCCACTGCAACTTCACGCCACATTTTTGTACCATATTAAGTAATAGACATCAGTAGAAATCCGC